CTTCTTGGCTTGGGGGTGGTTCAGTAGTCTGAGGCCAGGGATTCTATGGGATGGCTACCCACCCCACCCCCCAGCAACTGGGATCCATTTTGCCTAACGAGCAGTGACAAATGATTTTTGGCACTTAAACAATTACTGTGGAGACATAATTGGATTGTCTGTTCTGGACAATGCAGCCACTGTGAAGGAGCTCTCATTCTGAAGGCAGGAGACAAGGCATCTCTGTCAGGTGTATGGGGAGGGTGTGTGTAAAACTGAAACATTTCCAGAATTCTTGCCTGGCTTTAGTATATCTGCACATCAATAGGCGTTCAGAGGTGGAAAGAAGTATGGCTTTAGTTCATTTGCGTCTTTCCTCAAGGGTGGAGAGAAGTTCATCTCCATATCAATGGGTAATTACCTGAGCAACAGAGGGCTTATCTGTACCTGAGAGGTGAGGGGGAGTGCTGGTGTGGTTGCTACTTGAGCAGAGAAGAAAGATGGCCTGGGACTGTAGTTTGTGAGCAATAAACGGGTTTTTAACTTTATTTCTCCCTTTGACTGATTTTGGTTTTTAGAGGTTTTTTGCACCAGGATTTCCTTTCTCTGGTCTTACAATTGGCATAGTCAGCAGGATTCCTGTGAACCCGAAATCTGTCATAATGGGTGCAACCTTTGGGAGGGCCACCCCTAGAAATGATGGGGAGAAGCGGCACTCACACCGACAGACATGTGTCTACACTTGTGTAGTCGTGGAGGCGCCACCACCCCTGCTGGCCACGCCAACCCCGGCCTGTGGCCCAAGCTTAAGGCTACTGCTTCTGCCACTGCTACTGCTCTTGCTGCCAGCCGGAGCCTGACCACAACCATGGAAAGGAGCAGAGGTCTGGGTCACCTTGATAGAGAAGCAACTGGCTGCTGTGTACCATGCCTTGCTGGCTATGGAGCCCATTGCCAGAACAGCTCCAACCAAGGTAACAACCTCCTATCCCATTGCGGGGTGAATGCGAGCCTGGACCCAAAGGCCACGGAGTGGCGTGGCACAGACACCTCAAAAGACAATGTGAGCCCATCCATGTGGCTTGTCTTTCACCTTTGAAGAAGTCAGCTGAGCCCAGAAGGAGTGCCCTGCATGTTGTGCAGATCAGTAAACCACCAAGAGGGGCCTAGAGCATCTCTCTGCTGCCTATGGTTGGTCACCAGTTACTGAGAGCACTCGAGGTACCCACTTTATTAGACATGTGTTGCAAGGATGAATGCAGCAATTAGGAGTAAAATGGACATGGCCCTGGACATTTAAACACATGGATCAGCAATGGCTGGCTCTTCTGGCACCTTGGGGAAAAAGGCCTGAAAGCTGGCCTTCTGCATATTCCTGTAATAACAGCAAATTGGCCCCTGACAATCATGGTTATTTGCTTCTACGGTTTTTGAGTCCTGGATGCACCCCCTGGCTGCAGCTGCCGTGTGATGGCTGGATTGGATGAGCTTTGGACTTAATCTGCATGGGACTTTGAATCTAGCTGAATACTCTGGCTTGAGAATTATGATTGTGTTGCTGTTGTCAAGAAAATAATGTTTAAAGAGAGGCTTGACTTTGTCTAATGTAAGGTGAAAGTTTTGTGAGCAATCAAGCATGATAGGATGAGTAAACAAGTGTAGAAACGTATTTTGTGCTTAGTGAGAGATTGTGCTGTAAAGTACATTTGCTTAATCTGCATAGGCTGAATCCTTTGGCTTGAGGATTATCAAGATTTTATTGCTGTTGCTATCACATGTTACTAGATTGGTCAGAAGAGGGGGATCGAGAAATTGTAAGGCGAGATTTCTGGAGGGGTGGATTGTGGGTAAAATTGAAACATTTCCAGAATATCTTGCCTGGCTTTAGTATATCTGCATATCGATAGGCATTCAGCAGTGGAGAGAAGTATGGCTTTAGTGCATTTACATCTTTCCTCAGGGGTGGAGAAGTTCATCTCCATATCAATGGGTGATTACCTGGGCCACAGAGGGCTTATCTGTACCTGAGAGGTGAGGGGGAGGCTGGTGTGGTTGCTGTTTGAGCAGAGAAGAAAGACGGTCTGGGACTGCAGTTTGTGAGCAATAAATGGGTTTTAAACTTTATTCCTCCCTTTGACTGATTTTGGTTTTTAGGGGTATTTTGCCCCAGGATTTCCTTTCCCTGGACTCACAGAGGGGCATCCTCTGCCTGCACCCCAGGTCACTGAGGGAGTCAAACTGTCCACTTCATACGACATAATAAAACTCTGAGAAGAGTTCTGGTCCAATCAGTAGACCATGGGTAAAGAATGCCTCGGTAGCAGCTGTGGCCATGCATACGGCTGCTGAGGGGTGCTGGCGTTTGTCCCCTCAGCCAGAGAGCTGAGGTCTGGGGCCTGGGTGGGAAGTTCAGGCCATGCTGCCGAGGGCCCAGGAGGCTGCATGTGGTGGGAAGGCGTTCGCATTAGGGGTCGGTGTCTGGGACCTGCATCTTCCCAGCAGCTGTCTGCCCAACTGTGTGGACTGGCCTATTCCACAGACACAAGCCAAAGATGTCCTGAGCTTGATCATTACAGGTCCCCAGAGCTGCTTACAAGTCTTAATTCATGGAAAGTGGGGAAGTGGAGGGCTGGCTGGGCCAGAGTGGCAAGCTGTATTTTCCTACATGCCCTAGTCTGTGTTTTATGACATGGTTTTCTGAGTCCAAAGCAGATGCTCTCTATTTACCCACTCAGAGCTACAATGAGGCTCCCCATCCACAGCCAAGAGGTTTCCAGAAGCAGCCAGGCTAACACGTGGGAATTTCAGCGAGTTACATGATCTCGAACTCTGGCCTGGGGAACTTGATGCGGAGTTTAATTTTCAAACAGGTCTCAGAGCCCTGAGAGAGCTTGATGGAGAAGACAGAAACTGGGCTTGCTGCCTTCCCGAGGGATGTGGGGATGTGCCATCTGAGGCCCTTCTCTGGTGCTCACTCCAGGTGGAGCAGAGAACTCTGGCCGGGTGAAGACTCCCTGGGAACAGAGAGGCCACAGCCCAGGGCTGCCAGCTTCCAGATGGGTGACTTGCTTCCCCAGGATTTGTTCATCTGCCAGCATCAGGTCCTGCAGGTCCTGGGCTGGGGAGGGTGAGCACAGGATTTGCGGTGACACCCCCTCCCCTGCACCCCAGCTTCAGGGGCCCAGGAAGCCCTGGGCAAGGGGGGTATGCACCACAAGCTCCCTGTAGCCCCCACTTTCCTCCTTCCCCCATGGCCCTCTTCTTGTTCATCCTTATGCAGTGCAGGGAGCTGGAAGGAGGCACGACATGTGTGTGTGTGTGTGTGTGTGTGTGTGTGTGTGTGTGGCCTGGGGCTGAGGCACAGGCTGCTGTGCAGGTGCTGTCTCTTGGGCAGGAACTCCAAGGAACAGAAATGGAGGTCCTGGAGATCCAGCCTAAGGAGGGATCTCAGAATCTTCCTGTGGGACGGGAGATCTGTGTCCCCCAGTTCACGGGGCATCTGTCCAGTGTCCCCTCGCACCAGCAACTCTCTGCATGTGTAGGTGCTGTGCAGGCTCCAAAGGCTTCCCTTACTGGGCTGGCAGAAAAGCCCTAGGATGCAGCAAGGGGAGGGACGGCCAGGGACACTCAGCAAAGCCCGTTGCCATGACAACAGCAAAGCAACAGGAGGCCCTAGAGGATGCCAGAGGGGATACTGGGTTATTTAGCTTTCAAGAAACAGCCCTGGCAGCTCAGGAAGAGGAGGAGTATTGTGAGCGGGTGGGCATCAGGGGCACCCTGTGGGGACGTCTTCAAGGAGATGGGTGTGCCCCTGAGAAGAAAGGTCAGAGCAGATAGCCCCAGAGGTCCCCAGGGGCTCAGCCTCACCACCACCCCTGGCAAGGCCCCACCCTCCCCTCTTCAGCCTTCAAGCTCAACCCCCTCACACACCACCTAGCGCACCACTCCTGCCTCAGTTCGGTGCTGGTCTCTATGAAGGACCCTTGGAGAACATGTGGAAGAGGAGACCAGGGTGAGAGCAAGCAGAAGGGACATTAAAGAACCTTCGGGCCAGCAAAGAGCACCCTGAGTGATCAAATGTGGCCATGTCACTGTGGGGCCATCCCTGGGCACACCCATAAGGGCAGGAAGGAGTGGGGTGGGGAGGGAGGTGATGTGGGGACTGGACATCAGGATGGAGGGCCAGGGGGCTGCCCCTGCTAGCTGGCTCCTGCTGAGCCTAGGGGTCAGGGGCGTGAGTCTCGGGGCACACGGGGCCCTGTGCCCATCAGTGGGTGTGCAGGGTGGGCAGTCAGGCCCTGTGCCTTGGCTCAGGGGTGGCAGGCAGAGGTGCAGGTGTGCAGTCCTCAGTCACAGGAGGCCCTTTAGACGGAGCAACCCGGGAAGCGAGGCGGATGCTCAGGCTGTCCCAGTGGGATCCTAGAGCAGACGGTTTCCAGGAGGGCGAGCAGAGCCAGGTGAGGGGGGCAGGCACCTCCACCTGCAGTGAGCTTTCATCTGGGATGATGTCGCCCCAGCTTGCTGTCTCCCAGGCTGGGGCTTTCCAGAGCCAAGGGTGGACACGGGCCCCCATGTGGCCAGGCAGCAGGATGAGCAGGGCTGCACGTCCAGGGCGGAGCCTGCCCTGTGTCGGCTTGGCAGCGGTTGAGCCTCCCTGGCCTAGGGCAAAGGTTCATGGACCTGGAGTATGTCCACTTCTTCCCTCTGCCCTTGGACCTGAGCACCCTGACCTCATCCTGTGAAGTCACAAGGCCTTCCCTGGGTGTACAGGACTGGGAGCCTCTGGGACCCTCCTGTCCAGGCTTCCAGTGGTCACAAGGCCTCCGCACGGACAGCCTGGACCTAAAGGGAGAGGTCCGGCCTCCCCTGCTCTGGCCCACCTCCCTCCTCACGGGGCTGACCGGCTCTGGGCGTGGTGCCCGCCTGGTGCTCCTCCTACCCCTCTGGGTGCTCTGCCCCAGCTGCCCGGCCTCTGCCCCACCCTCACTGCTCCCGCCATCAACACACAAGGCCTCTCCATGTTCATTTTTATTTGAAGTCTCAGAAACATAGGCATGGCACTTTGTCATCACTGTCAGTCCTTCCAAATCACACGCTGACATTTGTGTGTAACAACAACAGGGTGTGTGTGATCTGTGCAAAGTACAAAGAATTTCCCAACCAGTCAGCTAAGCTTGTTTGGGGCTCCAGAGCCTGGCATTCATGCCATAGACTGCTGGGGAAGTGCCTGCCATCTCTCTGCCTCTGTGGCCCTTTGGTGACCCGGGTGTCCCCTGACTTCACTCGGTGGTGGCTCTGGACTCTACCGCAATCCTCAGAGTACATGACCTTGGCTGCCAAACGCCCCCCACAACTGAGAGTATAAGTTGCTGGGCCAGGATGGAATGTGAGGTGTTCAGACAATATGTGGGTTCCATCCTAGTAGCCAGAATGGGCAGAATGGCCTGGAAGACGTGTCTGATTCTGCACCTGCTCTTGTCTGCAGGCTAGATGGCTGTGAAAGCTGATGCATGACAAACATGTCTGGAAACACTCAGACCCAAATGCGGAGGCTGCTGCTGCACTGCCTGCTCTCGGGGGATGCATGGGAGCTCTTGCAGCCCTGAAAGGATGCCCTGGTGCTGGCCGGGCCGTGGCATCAACCTGTCCTTCCCGCAGCTGTTGCAGTGTCCACCCTGACTGCCGCGGGAGGGCCAGTTGGTGCCCACTGGGCACCTGGACTCCCAGCTCTCCGCTGTGAAGGATGTGGGCCCACTGTCACAGGCAGCTTGGCAAGTTCTAGCTCTGTGGGTGTCCTGGGGGTGGTGGCCAGAGAGGAAATAAGGTCCGAATGAGTCTGTTCTGCTGCTTGGTGACTACCTTCCTTTAATAAGAAAAAAAAAGACTTTCCTTTTTATTTAGGGTTTGAGTTAGTTTTGGTTTCACTAGAGAGCACATTTTTCACTCACGTGTTAATCAACGCATGTTTCTGGTGATGACATGATTTTAAACACGCTCATGATTTTGTGCATGGTGGGCAACTAATTCAGCAACTGCTGGCACATGGACACCTTCTGGTTGTTGTAACTCCATACACAGGGCTCCTATGTTTAAACTGTTTTGTTTTATTTGATTCAGAACAAATTTCTCATTGATTAAATCAATTATCATCTGGAGAGAGGGAAAGAGACTTTCTCAGGCATGATCCCACCGGCACAGCAGCCACCAGGCAGTAACAAATAGCCAAGTCACATCCCGGAACAGAAACCCCGAAAACGGATGCTCCGTATTTCAAAGGCACCGTGCCCAGCAAGGGAATGGGTTTCTGAATTTCATTCCATTCCTGAAAACCAGGGAGACCCTAAGTTCCTAAAGGCTAAATATTCAGCCTAATCTAAGTTGGAGTGGTTTTGCAAAAATATACAGAGAAAGGTTTACGAACTGTGACTCCAAGCTGATAAGAACATATTCCTAAGGCGTGAAGCTCTTGAGAATAAGGCTGCTGGGTGACGGGGCTCCTGAGGTCTGCTATGGAAGTGGCCGCTGGAACCCACCTCAGGGGGCCCCTCCTCCTGTCTGCCCCCAGCTTCCTCTGACTCCGCAGGTCTGCAGAGACGCTGCCAATCACCCATGCCCTCCTCGCACCTCTCGTCTCTAGACCGAGGTCGGTACCACCTGATAAGGGAGCAGTTACTTATTAAGAAAAAAAGAAGACAAAACCCTCACAATGTGGTAAATCTGAACTGTGGTAAAAATTGCACATTTCACTAATTAGAAATCATATTTTGACAATGCTGATTGTAGTCATTCTCCCTGAAGCAACAAAAGGAAAATTCTGCCTTGCCAGGCTGGGTCCACCTTCCTGTTCTTTTTCCAGCCACACAAAAGACCATTACAGTGACCTTTCCTCCGTTTGTTGCCAGTTCTTAGATAATAACGACCAAGTTGTGATGTAATGCAGGTCTTTAGAAAGGGTTTTTAAAAAGTGGCTTTTTCCAAGCCCCCTCTTATCCATGGAGCAGGAGCCAACGTGGTGAGGGGAAGACGCAGGCTCTTTGGAGTTCTCCAAAATTCGCATGGTACATATAAAAATCCTGCCCTGATGATGTCGCCTCAGACATTTTTTTTCTTTCAAGCTCAACCAAGTCATCACTGGTTTTACAAAGAGGCAGCACCAGATGTATGAAAAATAGGTAATGTATGACCTATTAGAAATACAGAGTCTAACAGCTTTCCGTAAAAATATGTAAGCAGGGAACAATGCAAAGGGACGTGGTGGCAAGAGAGGCAGGCACCCACGCCAAGTGGGCCCTGTGTGCCCCCAACAGGAGCTGCGAGAGGACACCAGCCCCCCTGGAGCCCCCTGGGCCGGGAACACCTTGCTGAGTGGCCAGGTAGCAGTGACTGAGGTATGTAGAGAGGCGACCCATGTGAGGCCCAGAACAGACACCCTCAAGACGCTCAGGCAGCGCCCGCCTTCCCAGCCCTACAGCCCTTCTGCAACCTCTGGCCAGCCCCGGTGGCCAACAGGAGCTGCCTTGGCCAGCAGATCCCTCTGTCTCAGTGTCCTCTTCTCTCCAAGGTATCCTTACAGCTCACACGGAGGGAGATGCTCCCGGCCGGGATGGTGGCGGAGGCAGGACCTCGCTCCCTGGGCTCACTGGGCATCCTGGGGCCTCTGTCCCTGGGAGCAGGGGGAAAGCACAGCCTCAGAAGCTCTCCACGAAGCTGCCTGGAAAGAGCCCCGTGCGGCCTGTCCTCTGCAGGGTCCCCTTGTACCAGCCGTCCTCGCGCTTCTTGTGCACAAAGACGATGTCTCCCTCCTTCAGCTCAATCTCTGCCTCGCTCTGGGGCGGGTAAGACACCACCACGCGGTACCTGAGGGGACACGGACAGACAGTGGGCCGCCTGGCCACAGGCTGTGGCCCCCTCCCCAAGGCCCAGGCCAGGCCTACCTGGAAGACCTCCCTCTGCTCCTCTTTGCCTTCTCCCAAGCCGGCATAAATTACTGCAATTTGGGTCTACTTTTCCCACTTTCTAAACTTTCTACTTATCTTTCATTTTAATTTTTATAAACATTTCCATTTTTTATTAAAATTAAAAGATAAGTTTTTCCCTGTGGTGTCCTTTTAGACCCTGATCTTTGCAGCTGGGATATTTCTGCCAGGGTGCAGTGCCTCTGCATCACCCCGTCTCTCCAGCACCCTCGGACGGGGCCTCCCAGGGCTGGAGTGGGGCGGGCGGCCCCTTTGGCCCTGGGAGGCTCTGGGGTAGGGTAGGATGCTTAGCCGTGAACATGGGTCTGTCTCTCCTGGTGGCGACCCTGGGCTAGCTGTATCCATTGTCCATGGGTCAGTGTCTCTGAAGAGCAGGCGGGGTGGAGGACACCTCTTAGGTAGTTGCCCCATATGATGGTGAAGTTGCTTTAAACACTCTTGATGAAATGGTCTCTCTTTCTAGATGTGCCCCCAGTTGTAAGGTTTGTGGTCTGAGCAGCTGAACTGGCTGAAGTTGCATCATGAACTCACACTGAGTTTTCACACCTCTCATTCCCCTAAACCTGGGAACACTCCCTGCAGCCTCTGAGGCCTTCGTAGAGCCCGTTTTCAGCTCTGCACTGGCAGACGGAGCTGCAGGCTCAGGCTGGCCAAGCTCACACGCCTGCTGCCTCCTTGTGGGCAATGCGCGCTGGCCCTGACAGCTCCAGGAGCCAGGACAAGGGTCTGACCCTCCAGGTGGCACCCAGCTAAGGCCCTGGAGTCCCAGGGTGAGCACAGGGTGGTCTGATGTGCACCTCATACCCCGTACCTGTCCGTCAAGCCTTAGAGGAGGAAGAGTGAGGCTAAGGAGGAGCTGTGCTCACTCCAAGGACCAGCCTGCTTCCAAACACCACCAGGGTGAACCCGTGTGCCCTGCGGGCCCGAAGCCCAGCCTGGCTGGAGCTAGGCCTCTGCAGGTAGGGGCAGCTGCTCCCACTCCCTGGAAACCGCCCAGCTGGGAGCCGCCCAGTACCTTGGCTGAGATGGCAGGGACAGGGGCCTGCACTCCATGACCTTCCTCTGCTGACTGGCTAGGCTGGCGGAAGCTGGCCCATCCCCTGGCTCTGCCCCCAAGGGGCCCTCAAGGTTGGCTGCTGGCCCCACCAGCAGCTCCCTGTGTCCCCCTTACCACGTCAGCTCCTCCATGCAGCTGCTGCACATGGACTGCCCACAGGTTGGGCTCCCTGCTCAGAATGCCCAGTGGTTTTCCATCACTCAGAATAGATGCCACGGTGGTGAAGGCACCGTGGAAGATCCATGTTCCTCGACCACCCATTGCAGCCCAGGATGCCACCTGGGACCTGGGCCCCACTGGCTGCACTGTCACAGCACACCAGCCTGCCTTGCCCTGCCCACCTTCCACAGGCAGCGTGACCTATGCCGGCACTGGGCCTGCAGCCCCAGCAACAGCTGCCTGCCACAGCACGGCTGGCCCATGGGGGAGGCTGGGGTGCAAGGTGGGTGTGCTGGGTGGGAGGGGGTGCTCCCGGGGCCTGGAGGAGCAGCAGTTGCAGGTCAGGTAAGGCTGGCCAGGCCCGGCTGCTGTGGCCGTCGGGGGTGCTGCGGCCGTGGGCGTGGGCTCAGCTGGACTCGGGTCCCACACCTCCCCATGAACAGCCCCCCAGGGGCTCCTCCCTGCTCCTCTTGTGTTCACGACAACAGGGCCCCGGAAGGCCAGCCCTTGTGCCCCTCTCTCTCTGTCCGGCTGGCACCCCACCCCTTGGGCAATGGCAGATGATGGGAGTTGAAGCATGCTCAGCAGGCAGGTGGGGAGAGCAGCTCAGGGCTACCCTCTGCTTAGGGGCCAAGTCCTGCCCCACTGTCCCCGCTCTCAGGCCCATTTGCACCCCCTCAAGGCAGGGCCCATCCCACCCACAGGGTCCTGGGCCTCTTCCTGAGTAAGCCCTGTAAACCACACGCTGGTGTCCTCAAGGGACAGAGGGAGGCTTTTGGGGTGCAGAAGAGAAGAGGAAGGAGAGAGTGCTTCCCATGCTCCTCCCAGCCCAGAGGCTCTGCAAAGGCTCCCTGGCTGTGGGATCCGCACAGCAAGTGCGAGGGCCAGGTCTGCACAGACGGCTGTCCCCACACCTCCAGGCTCAGGCGTGTCTCGACCGCACAGAGCAGCACAGCCCGACCGCGGCTTCCTGCGGTCCCCCACCGCCTCTCCTGCCTCCTGCCTCCTCCCTCTTCCTCAAGGGAAAAAAGCAGAGATGATTTCTCAGGCTCAGAACCAAGTTTTGGCTTTTGCCTCAACAGCCAGATGTGAAACAAGCAAGCAACTTAAAAAATGTAATCTGTTAGAAAAAAAAGTAATTGGATGCTTCTGAGCTATTCACGGACTGAATGGGCCCAGCTGGGTGGTGTGGCTGAGCGCACGTGACGTGAATGCTCAAAGTTCTGCCCAGATCATCCCCAGCTCTGGGGCCTCCTGGGCAGTGACCTACCTGATGCTCCCCTTACAGGCACAAAGGGAGAAGTGTGGCTGCCACTCCAGAATCAGGAACTCCTCTCCCTGCACACGCAGGCAGCTGTACGTGGGAAGACTGCAGGGTCCCCTCCTGTGTGACCTGCTCCCCTGACCAGGGGTCTCAGGGCCCTCGTGGAGCACGGGCCGCAGCCCTGAGTTGGGGGTGAGGTCACCACAGGGCCGTGCGCCCCCAGGGACTGCAAATGATGGGTGCACCTGCTCCCCACCCACCAGGCTCTAGTAGTGAACCTGTGTCAGCTGCCTACTGCTGTGTAACCAACGTCCACAAACTCAGGGTCATGCAGCACGGACTTCTCATCACACAGTTCTCTAGGTCAGACATCGTCTACTGCCCCACGGGGCTGACATCAGAATGCGGGCAGGGCTGCCTTCCTCCTGGGGCCCCAGGGAGACCCCTTTCGTTGTCTGTCTCAGCTCCCGGGAGCTGCCGTGTTCCTGAGCTGGTGGCCCTCCTCCACCTTCGAAGCCAGTGAGAAGGTCAGGCCTGCCTCCAACACACCACCAACCTCTTCTGCCTCCCTCTGTGGCCACCTGGGGCCCTCCCAAATACCTGGAATAATCTATTTTAGAGAAGCTGGATAGCAAACTATTCCATCTGCAGCCTTAATTCCCCTTGGCTGTATACGGTTACATGGCCGTGGTTTGGGGATTGAAGCAGAGACATCTTTGGGAGCCATCACTCTGCCTACCATGACACATAATAGGAAAAAGCTTTTAAATCCTAACAAAGCCAAACAATTTGTAGGCCAGCAAGAGGTGAGCATGAATAGACTGAGTGAACATTGGGAAGAAAGACTGCCAGTCAAAAGGGGAGGAGGGCGGGAAGGTGGCATCAGAAGCCCCATCACCGTCATCCAATAGGTATTATTATATTTGTCACATTATATAACATTATCATACATATCACTTCACATGTTATTATTTTTGCTGCTGTGTTTTCTGCATTCACAAATTCCCAGGTATTAATCTAGGCACTTTATTGCAGGATACAAAATTAACACACAGAAATCTGTAGCTTTCCTATATACTAACAAGGAACTAATAGAAAGAGAAATCAGGAAAAGAATTCCATTCACAATAGCATCAAAAAGAATAAAATACATAGGAATAACCCTAACCAAGGAAGTGAAAGACCTATACCCTGAAAACTACAAGACACTCTTAAGAGAAATTAAAGAGGTCACTAACTAATGGAAACTCATCCCATGCTCCTGGCTGGGAAGAATCAATATCGTCAAAATGGCCATCCTGTCCAAAGCAATATACAAATTCGATGCAATCCCTATCAAATTACCAACAGCATTCTTCAATGAACTGGAACAAATAGTTCAAAAATTCATATGGAACTGCCAAAGACCCCAAATAGCCAAAGCAATCCTGAGAAGGAAGAATAAAGTGG